CGTTCTAACTTGATCGTCGGAGGCGGAACTCCACCCAACCGGAGTTTCCGTGGTTTTGCAGGTACAGACGGTCGACGCGCATTCTCGGAATTGTAACTCTCCCGAGGGACTCCAAAAACCCCGAAACAATATCTATTTTGATCTTTATGCCGCTTTCTACACACGCGTCAACCAATTTTTAAAGCAAATATTTGTACGAAATGCTAGATATATCAATTTATCTTCACAATATGGTTTTTTTAGTGCATAAGTATTGTACATGCGCTAAGTATGTGACAAAATTTTATTGCAGTACAAATATTTATAGTCGATAATATCTATTTTGATCTTTTATGGTCACATTTATAATTAAATATAATTATGATGAGATACTATGTTCTACATGAATAAAACAACATTTATATAAACATAACAATAATTTAACCTTAATTTATTTAATATAAAGGTAATTAAGCCACAAATTTATTTTAGACACACATATATTTTGTAAATGTGCATTAAACATAATAATCCTCGAGCATAACAACCATAAGAAAAAAAAAACCTAACGCTACCAACACATATGTTACAAAGTATTGGATTAATTACATAATATCAAGATATTTGTTTTGCATATCTCGAGAATCACCAATAAATGATAGAGGGAGAATAAAACGGTGTCCAATATTTGATCCATGAGACTCTTCGGTATCATAATTCTTGAGAACTTCTTCGTAAAGTTCTGGTATACATATAGGGGTGGGTTCAGGTGAGAACCCTTCCTTAGGTGAGAACCATCTTAAAATGAGAACCAATTTTACACCATCCATTTATTTAGATCTGACGGTTGAGCAGTTACTAAAAAAAAAAAACAATAAAAATTGCATTAATACACGTAATGAGCAATTTTCCTCGGAATGTGAAAACCATCATTGACGATTATGAAGTGACTATTCATTTTCCTGTCATTTCAAACCCAATTTCGCCATTTGAAACACACAACTCCTCCATAACTGCAAAAAATCCCATAACCACTACAGTTTTTCCTATAAAAGTTCCCAAAAATCACCATTTTACATTTTGCAATCCTTCCACAAAATTACACCATTAGAAGTGATGACGAAGAGTAAATTTCAAGAAAATTCAAAAAACTTCAAGCAAATCAATGGACGAGAAGAAAATTGCAAGCATTCGATGCAAAGAGGATTTAAAAAAATTTCAGCAAGTTCTTTTCATGGTAATTGAAGTAAGGATTTTATCCCATTTCAGTGTGATTGAAGTTGGACAACAAAGAGAAAAAAGGATCACTCCAAACCTTCAACCAAATATGCGTTCACCGTTCATGGTTCAAAATGAAAAAATATCTAATAAGCTTGATGCACAGCAAAGAACGGTTGTTGAATATGCATTTTTTGTTGGTCCCAAAACTTAAGCAACATAATAAATGTTTTGTTAATGCAATTGTTCCATATACTATTTCTATTGTTCCAATTTAAATAACTTGTTGTTCCACAATTTCAGTGAGGAGCTATACAATGACACGCTCAATTTTATCACTAGGGATGAAATTCATGCCTACAAGAAAACAACTACGTAATCAACAACATAGTTGATTCTTGAGCACATATTTTGAACATGGCCAACAAAAGAAGAAAACCTGGAGCCATTATTAGATTTTTCTGCACTTTTGAATGTTGGGTAATTATGTGTGATTTTTTTAAAGTTGTTCCATTAATACACTTACTGTTCCATAAAATCTGACTAATGTTTCAATTATTATGTCTATTGTTTCTTTATATGCTGTATCGTTTCACAAAATATGCCCATAGATACGCTCTATTGTTTCATAAAAAATGCCCAATGTTCCTAATAATTGTGCTATTGTTTCTACAGTAAAATAAATTTAAATTTGTTTTTTTTTCCTTGCCAAATGCAGATTATGATGTGCACTGACTAATACTTCACTTCAAAAGACAAGTTTGTGGAGAGATATAAGGCATTTAAGACCAGAATAGAAAAAGAGATGATACACTCCAAGATCACTACATTTGACAAAGTTGACTTGGTTAGTATCTAAATTCTACTGTTCCATTATATCCATTTATTGTTTCTTAAAATAGGCTTAATGTTTCATATAATATGTCTATTGTTTCAGGATAGGTATTCTTTCCAGTAGTCGCATTTGAACACTACTACATGTTTTGTTTTAATTTCATACACAAAAAACTAGAAGTGATTGACAACAGAAAACTGGAAGAAGGTGTTGATATGGATGCCAAATACAGAAACTTCCCAACTACAATGGTAAATTTATTTGACTAATCTTCCAAATATTATCCGTTTGTTCCAGTTTGTCTATTGATTGTTCCTTAACAGATTTTGTATCGTTCCTAATTATTTTTAAATTGTATTTTTTTGTTATGAAGATCAAGGCATTTGGAAAAGTACTAACAGAGAATAAAATTGGGAATGGTCGAGCAGTATCGAGATTCAAACCGATACTAAAGGAACTGAGATGGCAAAACAATGAAAATGCAAATGACTGCGGCGTATACACTCTGAAACATATGGAAAGTTATACGGGACAAACTGATTTACATTGGGATATAGGTTTTGACCCAAAAGATGTAAGTTATTATGCCTATTGTTCCGTAAAATATGCCAATTGTTTCACTTTTTATACCTGTTGTTCCATGGTATATTATTTGTTGTTCCAGTATTTATATTCTATTGGTAAAATATTTTTCAGTCGGAAGTAATGAAGAAGATGAGGATAGAATATTGTGGCAAAATCTTAACAAGCCTAGCAAACACCTTATAAGATGAAGGGATAGCAAAATTAAAGGCCTGGGCATTAGAGCAGCTACGCCATGTACCGCAGTAATCAATGACAATTTTAGATTAGTTTATGTTTGGATGTTTTAAATGGATGTTTTATATGGATATTTTAGATTATATTGGGTTTGTATTGCTAGAACAATGGATTATTAATATGAACATTATGTATGTATTATTTGAACAATAGTAGTACTAATATGCAACAGTAATTATGCATGTTAGATGTTTTATTCAAAAAGATATACTATCACACTAAGTATAATATGCAAGAACAGAAGGCATATAAAATGAAACAACAAAATATTATTTACCTCTGTAATTGATTATATATGATATTAGGTCCAGTTACCCATATCAGATTTTGCAATGGCAGTAAACCAGAAAATGTAGTCCGACGTATAACACTGAACATAGTCTGTGGTATACCGCCATTACCGGAGATAATGTGGGAACAATAAGAAAATTAAAAAAAAGAGAATGTAAGAGAATTAAATTGGTTGTGTTCATATCAAGTCCAAGATACTTTATATAGAAGGCCACAAAAGTATGAAATGACATAAAAACATGAATTGACACAGCATTACACATTCCCACATGAAACTGACAAGTGTTGGGTTGCTTTTTTGACTTTTTCCATTAATCTCTTCCCAAAGCTCTTATGTCATGCGTGATTTCAAAAAAAAAAAAAAAGTAAACTTGTCAAATCATTACACGTTCCCACATGAAATCAAATTGTAGATTTTCTAAAACGTGTACTTCTCCAAAGATTATTATTTAACTTTTTTAAAATGCAAATGAATGACTGTTTATACTTAGTGAAATTACTAGATATTTGAACTATTGTTCCAGATGAGTAATATAATGTTCCATATAGCAAAAAAATTGTTCCATATGTCAACACTGATGTTCTATATATGTGAATCATTTTTTTGACAACGTACAACCATTGTTTCATGGGAATCATATATTAAACACCGATATTCCATATATGTCAAAACTGATGTTCCATATACTTAAATCATTGTTCCATGTGTTTGAACCATTATTTTCGTAGTTTTTGAATTACTGTTCCAATTATTTGACTGAATGTTCTTCGCATCTTAATATTTTCACTAACTAGTTATTGTTGCACTGTTGGTAACTTACTGAAATCATTAGAACAAACAAAGAGGTGAGTAGCAATAGTTTAATAAAAAGGAACAATAATTATACTAACACAGAACAATAGAACAAACTAGTATTTCACACGCGCAATTTTAAACTGTTTTATAAGGACAATCCCGAATATCATAATATGCAAGATCCCTACCGCGACTACATTTCCTCTTTTTCTTCTTATTACATTGTTCAACTGCTTTCTCCTTAGCGCCCTTTAATCGTTTAGACCCACTGATTCCACTGCCATCATTAACACCTGTGCCTTTATTCTTCGACACTTTAGGAGGCTGAACCAGTATTTCATCAGGCATACTACATCCAAGTAACATTTCAATGTCATGTTCATTTGATCTTGCGTTCTCACTTTCAAATGCAGTAACACTCTTTATGCCTTGAATTTTATTTTTAAACTCTCAAATATTCTTAATAAAATCTTGCTCATGACCTTTTACCCAACTCACACAAGAAAGTATCTCAGACCACATTTCATTCAATACCACCCTCCTATCACCATCCATATATGTACAACTTTTCTCTAACATTGGTTTCTGAGTAGCAGTTATTGTCCACCGATCTAAGATATATTGATTTGGAATGGTTTTTAAATTCTTTTCTTTCCACATCCATATCATATGTCTACATGGGATTCCTATCCTATAGAATTTTTACATGAGCATGTAGTTTCATAATTAACCGACTCAAATACAACCTTAAATTTTCTTCTCCTATTAGCCACAATAACTACTGCTATATCCATTCCATTTTCCTTCCTTAATTCATCCACACCACAAGAATAAAAAGCACTATAAACTTCTTCTTGAAAATCATAAAAAGCAGAAATTGTGTATACCTCTGAACCATGCCTCTCAATCAGCATTTCTATCTTACATCGAGGGTACTTCTCCTGTGAATCATTGTCATTTTGTGCCTGACTGTGTCTTTGTGCATCCAACACAGTTTCATACCCCATGAAAAACTCCACAAGAGACACATGAGGATTAACAAATGACGAAAAAAAATTATTCTCACTCTCTGACCTTGATGTAGTTCTCATAATTACTCCCATAAAAGTCTCTAAAATACGCAGGAATCCACATAGATCTCATCTTAAACATCATATTAAGCCAATCATGGTCTTCTAAATAGAACTTAACAAGAACATCGTTCCACATCTCTTCAAATTCAAATGGCTTAATATCTGAATTCCAAACACACTTACTAAGTATCTTCAAAAATTCAGTCTCCTGAGTGATACTCCTTCCTACTTTATTAGGCAGCTTTTTCGTAATATGCCACATACAAAATCTGCAGACCAATATCATTACAACAAAATAAGTATGGGACATTAGAACAAAATTCCGGAACAATGTCCTATAAAAATGGAACAGTAACATAATAATTCAGAACAAATAAATAAAAAATAAACAATAATTCGGAACAACTAATTATAAACATGGAACATTATAACAACATTTCGGAACAATGTCCTATAAAACGGGAACATTAATATTATAATTCGGAACAAATAAATAAAAAATAACCAATAATTTGGAGCAGATCATTATAAATGTGGACCAGTAAAACGATAATGCGAAACAATATAGTAAAAAAATGGAACAATAACATAATAATTCGGAACATATTATAAACAAAATGGAACATTTAAAAAAAATTAGTTCGGAACAGCTAATTAAAAATATGGAACATTAAAACAAGAATTTGGGACAATACAATAAAAAACTAGAACATTAAAATGGCAATAGAATATCATATACCTATGCTCACATTGCTCAAAAACAGAATTAACAGTAATCTTCATCGCTGGATCTTGATCTGTAATTAAACAATTAGGTTCTCTATGACCCATTGCCTTAAGAAATGTTCTAAATAGCCATTGAAATGAAACTATGTCTTCCTTTGCAATAAACCCAGCAGCAAAATTAACACATTTCTTGTGGTTATCGACTCCTGTGAATAGCCCAAAGACCATATTGTACTTGAAATTAATACAAAAACTCATATAACATGAATTCATATGTGAAAATACTAGTCGACTTATACACATATAAAAATACCATTATAATACACATACATATACCTGTTACTTTGGTAAATAGTATCAAAGGAGACCATATCACCAAAAATAGCATAATTCTTCCTACAAATAAGATCTGCCCATAAAGCTCTACAAAGACAGTCATCTTCATCCATTTCATACTAAAAATAATATGCCAACCACATTAACGTCTTCCTCTTAAAATTGTCAACAAACATCTGATCCTTCAAAATAAGCCTTCAAATCTCTATGAAAGTTCTTGAAATCAGACTTACTAGCACCTATAATCTCATATCCCCCAACATATTCCTTTATCATTTTGTATGTTTTCACAGGGCCAATAACCTGTGTACAATAAAAACAATAATAAAATTATTATAAATGAGTATAATAAGGTAGGTGAAAACCCTACCTTATATAGAAACCATGTTATATATGAGAACAAATCTAGGGCTTAATTAGATCTGACGGTGCACATTTAATTAAAAAAAAAGAAGGAACAAAAAGGTGCACGTTTAATTACATCTGACGGTGCACGTTATTCTAAATGTGTAGTTCGAAATTTGAAAAAATTAATGCATCTGCTTGTAATTATTACTTTATTGTTCCATATATATGAACTACAGCTCCGCTTAATTAACCTATAGTTCCACTCAGTATGAACACATTTTTATAATAACTACTAATCCACTGAGTTGAACTACTTTTCCATTTATAAGTTAACAAGCTCCATTTAGTTGAACAATTGTTCCATATATTTGAAGTCTAATAATTATAATAATTTTTCCTACAAACTATATTGTTTCATTTTCAAAAACTATTGTTCCATACAATTATACCTACATGAACCGTCGTACATAATACCGTATCTACTGATCAATATTCAAACACTATTGTTTCATAACATTGTGCCTAATTCCATATAATAAACTAATGTTCTACAGTATGAGAAATATAAATCAAATTAATCAAACCATAATTAAATACCGTTGAATTATCAATAATCATTTTCTTATGCAACAATGTCAGCTTTCTTTTCAACTTCTGAAAATGAGCATTGTTATGAGAATACATAGGATGAGTATGCCCTTCTTCAAATTTAGAAACAATATGACCTTCATCTTCATATCTCTTTAATAACATTTTGGCCCTACAACCAACTCGACTATCCAATCTTCTTCTAATTATACAAGTATTGCCTTGAACAATATTGTTTTCTTCTTCATCACTATCCCCTTTATCTTGTACATCATTGTCTTCATCTTGAACGTTATTGACTTCTTCTTCATTCATATCCTCTTTATCTTGAATAGCATTGTCTTCTTCTTCACTAATATCTCCTTTACCTTAAACAATGTTCTTCCATTTTTCCTTGTACCTAGCTTTATTACACAAAATAATTTGAAAAGAAATCACACCATTTTATTTTCCGTAGATTTTCTAGTAATAAAACCAACAACAGCTGCATATGACTCGTAAAAACGTAACCCATCATCCACATTTGAAAATCTCATACCTATGCATGGTCTTATTTCACTTTCACAACATGGAATCCATAGCTTTGTTCCACCAAGAGTACAAACATGAACAACACTCGCCGTATCGCATTCAACTGAAACAACGCAATTTCCTTCTACATCCATGCTTCATAACAAATGAAGAATGTTGATGAAAATTTCAGCAAAGAAAAAAGATCAGACCAAAAACGTCAAAACAAATGAAGAATGTTGAGGAACAATTTTCTAATTACAATTCAAAAAATGGGTGGCTTAAATCTCTTGGTTTTCCAATGCATATTACCGTGTTTCAATGTAGAAAATATTAATTAAAAAAAACCATGTTCCAAGAAAGTAATGTTGACTGATTGCATGTTCCAATACAAAAAAATAAAATAATATGAAGCCCACCTATACAAGTCAGCAATCCGAAATTCAATCTCGACCATCCATAATATGAAAACGGATGGTGTAAGATGGTTCTCATCTTTAGAATGGTTCTCACCTAAGCTAAGGGTTCTCACATGATCCCATATATATATATATATATATATATATATATATATATATATATATATATATATATATATATATATATATATATATATATATATATATATATATATATCAACAATGTATTGTTATAGTCTCAACCACATTGCAAAAAGAAGAATCCTAAAATGTGTTTACTTTTATTAGGATATTTACAAAGCTATGACAACTTTGTCGAAAGTCACAAAGAGCTATTTATATATAGCGGAATTTTTTTTAACAATTAAAAAGGACATAAATTAAAAAAAAAATGCTTTGTCGAAAAAAAATTAAAAAAATGCACATGCCAAAAGACCTTCATGTAGCCATGCAAAGTACCATATTATTAAAGATATATGTTATGTGTAGTGTAGATAAAGAAAAAAAAACACTATGTAAAACACATATTAAAAATACAATTATCTAACACTACAAGTAGTCATAAACAAGCAAAACTAAAAACTCCGTAATAAGACGAATATATCTACAACTTATATTATATCTATTACATATATAAAGTTAACTGTGTATTAAATTTACAAAAAGCAACATTTCAAGAAAATTTACGATTTATATGGTAATCATGAATAATGTCTATGTTTTTAGTATAATTATTATTGTGACACTCGTATTGTTGCTTTATTGTCTTGAAAGGAAAGTAACCCCTTAGCTTATTAATCCTTAGTATCATAAAGTTAAAATTATTATTATGTTTCTTCATTTTTAGATTTTTCTCATCTGAAAAAGTAATAAAAAAAAATAACTTGTATAGTTAGTTTAATCATTAGATGCTCAAATTGAAAGGAATGGTGTCCTTCCAACAAGTGTATTATTCCGATAGAGGGTTCGAAATTATTAGAAAGCTAATTCTTCCGTGAGGTCAAGTGATCAGAATGCCTAGGTGGAGGCCGCTTCCGATCAGTAATATTAATGCATAATTAGTATTACGGCTTAATCTTGACTAAATCCTTCAGGTCGCACCCCAATCGAATAACCGAGCTGAATCGACGAATCAATCCGAAGGATTAGATGAGTCATTAGAGTATTACGAACAAAGACGTCGGATATCGAGCTTAGAGCGTCGAGAATGAGCGTCGAGAATGAGCGTCGCAAGTTGAGTCGAATTTAGAATTCGACGAGACGTAAAATGAAGCAAGCGACATGTTTAAGCCTAGCCGTAGCCTCGCATTGGCCTAGCCATGAAAGTGCTAGGCTAGGTGAGGTCACTAACCCATGCACGTCTTGCATCCCCTAGCACACGCACATCGCATGGCACAAGCATCGCAAGATGCGTGCATGCGTGTGTGTGGTGTGGCTGTGCATGTGTGGCTAGGCGTGCTAACATAGCAGCGCTAGCCATCGCATCGTGCTAGGCATGGGCAAGCACAGCCCGCAAGCATCGCAATCATGGTGCGTTGCGTGCTTTCTAGCATGCTGGGCCAAGCACCCAGCCCATCGTTAGCACGCAGCATCGCAAGGATGGGCCTTGCTAGCATGAAGCATCGCACATGCTAGCAGCGTGCTGCGCATGCAAGTGCTAGGCTGTGCGTGCTTGCTAGCCAAGCTGGGCCAGGCATCGCTGCATGCTGTGCTTGCGTGCCAGCGTAGGGTCATGATCGGGGGATAATAGGTCGTTACTACTACCCTAGATCAAATCTACAATTTTTACTCCTAACCTAGCTCTATCAAATTTATGTGAGATAGTGGCAAGTTAGGGTCGAATCCCAAAGAAACGAGGGTAATGCACGATTACTGTGAAATCTAGAATCTAGTGCTAGTGACAAAGGGGGTATTATAGTTTGTTTTGAGAATTTCTATGATTAAACTTTCTACCACAAGAGACCTAATCAAGCCAAAAATAAGGAGATTGAACTAGACACTCTAAAATGAAAATGAAAAGCAAAACTATAGAGATAATAAGGGCAAAAAGCACTTGGGAGAGGGGGTTCCAATCATAACCAACAAGACAACGAATGAAAATCGATAAAGATTCATACCAAGGAGTACAAACTCTACTCAAAGTAATTCATTCTCATGCAACTACTCAAAGAAAATAGATGAAATCAATCAATCCTAAACTAGATCATTCTCATGCATCTAATCTAGGACTAAAACATTGGGGTTAAAGGTGCACACAATAACTCCAAGCATATTTAAGCACAAATCATCAACTCAAGGCAAAACCCAATAAATAATCAATAGAAACTCAAACAAACATGATTTTCACCCCTTCCCCTAACTAGAAATCTAAGCTAGCTAGAGAAAGGAAAATAGCCATGACAACTAAACTAAACATGTATTCAATCTAACACAACTTAGCATGATTCTAAATCAAAGAGAAAGCAATGAAACAAGTAAAGCTAGGAAATTTATGGAAGAAAACACAAATAAGAACAATAAAACTAAAGACTAGAGAATAGGGAAAAGAGATTACTATTATAAATGTTGAAGGATTAGCCAAACATGAAATAGTTGCAATAATCTTGAAGAAAACTTGAATATCTTGATTACAAAGATTGAAACTTGAAGACTAGTTGTTCTCTCTCTCTAAAAGATGTTCATATTCTCTCTCTACGAAGTATTTTTGATGTCAATAGAATAGTGGATACATGAAGATTCAAGCCAACGACTATTTATAGTCTCTTGTTAAAACACGGTAAACGGGCATGGGAGAGGCCTCTCCAGTCAAGCTGTCGCGCCCTCTCCTTCGTGGGTACGAAGTTGAGAAAACCCAGATCGCCGCGCCCGCGACCTTAATTGTCGCGCCCGCGGCCCTCTGAGCCACGCCCTCTCCAGGCCATCTCCCAGCCATCTTCAAAAACTGCTATGTAGCTCAGGATGCACCTGTCCGCGCTCGCGGCAATTGGACCCGCGTCCATGGCTATCTGTAGTAGTGCGCCCTCTCCTTTGCAGCATCTCCTCTTCCTTTGCAGCATCTCTTCTTCCTTGAATAAGCTACCTCAGCAACTCCAACTCCGTTTAGCCATCCAAAATCCGCCCACGAGTGCTAGGAGCTATCAAAACACACGAATATAAGGTAAAAAGTAAAAGAAAAGATAAAAGTGAAGGAAAAACCCACGAGAAAGAGCAAAAGTAACTAAAATAAAGGTAAAAACGGTAAGAAGAGGTATAAACAAGTGATAAATCGGGGGAATTCTCTAGTGAAAAAGGGTGAAATGGTGGCATAAATGCCACTCATCAGGGCACCAAGCAGCAGCACGCTATGCGTGCTAGGCATCGCATGGAAGCAACCCAACACCTCGCATAGCAGCGCATAGGCATCAGCCCAGCATGCGTGGCTTGAATTGCTAGCAGCACGCATGCATGGGCGTGCTGGCTGGTCAGCCCAACTTTAGTGCTAGGCGCGAGCTGGCAGCCTTGGCAGCCAAGGCAGGCTGTTAGCCAGCCAAGTGGTGGAGTGGTCCGATTTTTGTGTAGGGACCAATTGTTGGTGCTTGGCTTGGGGAGCAAGGTGAGTTGGTCCCCCCTTGTTGGTCCTCACCTACTCACTCTCCCTCCTTGTGCCACTTGTAGCTTGTTGATTGAATTGCATTTTATTTTGTTTTTGATTAAAATAAAATAGAGAAAAATGCAAATCTCCCACATTGATGGGAGAATGGAGATCAAGTCTTCATTCCCTATAAATACCCAAGTTTTGGGTTTTGGGAAGAACACTTGAGTGGAACTAAAAAGGCATCTCCTTAGAAAAGTGAGAAAACCTTAAGTTCGTAATACTCTAGTTTTTATTGGTCAAGTCCCGACTAACCTTCGGGACTAAGATCGTTCGGGTCAGGTCGAGGGTGCGAGCCGTAGGAGGCCGTCGCACTTGTGAGGCTGGGCTTTGAAATAAAAGCTCGCGAATCGAGCGAAGCACGCATCAAGGGTAAGAATGTATTTTCTCTTTCTCTCTTTTATGTTGTTAATTATGTGATTAAATATATAGTTGCTTTAATTAGTGAGTTGGTCTTGGGCGGGTTTCTCTTACGCGTAACGTTAGACGCTACGAAACCTAACACAAATTAAAAAAATAAGAGATATACATACCCTCTTTGTTCCTTAAAAATCTTCCTTTTGCTGCTTTGATTTATACATAAATTGTTATCATTACTTTTTATTATACCTGACAATCGTGTCGTGTCGTGTCATGTTTGTATTCGTGTTGGAAATTAAACGGGTTGGGGAAGGTCAACACTAACTCGACCCATTTAATAAACGTGTCGTGTCGTGTTGACCCGTTTAATTAAACGTGTTGAAAACCCTTGACACTAAGCTACCCCGTCTTTTTCGTGTTCGATTCGTGTCGTGTCAGCTTTTGCCAGCTGTACTTTTTATATATGCAACATAAACAATAAATCTATCTAGCTACTTCTTCATGCAATTCTTATTCTATATAATAATCAAGTGCATCAAAACATATAGAAGAATATATTTTTAACTCCAGAACAAAGCAATAAAATTAATAGCACAATTTCATAAGAAAAAATAATTAGCAGGATTATTTATAAATAAAAGGCAAAAATTTACCTATGGAAAATTGTGATTCTCTCTTGCAAATAGGCTACTTATATTTAAGATTTGTAATTTTTGGTTTTAAGCTTAAACTCAAACTTCAATAT